GAAATTTGAATTTTAATTTCGACCAAACAAGGACTAGAACAATTTTGAATCCTTCTTACTCAACAAACTTGCTAAGTTTACTTTTTATCTACCAATGTATTTTGATAACTTGATCTGATTTTATTATTAGTTAAAAAAAAAATTCTTATGCTGAAATAAATAACTTATTTATTTTTAACTTTGCTAAATAAAAAATTTATTGACTTCAAAATTTAATCATTTCTACATAAGTTAACAAAGTTTCTAATTTTGTAAAAGTAAGCTTTAGAATGTAAATTATTCCATGTTTGATTAATTACTTGTAAGTGTAAAAATTTACTTTTTTCAAAAGACTTCTTACTTAATTATTTTTAACTTTGATTAATAAAATAAATATTTACTTCGAAAAGCTACTTATTTACTTATAAGTAAATTTACGTGCTATTGATTTTGTTTTAGAATTTCTACTTGTGTTTTTTTGCTTGCTTTTCTTTCAAAACTACTATAAAAAGTAGACTAAAAGCAAACACTGATGTACGTAAGTGATGTTATTTGATTTTAATTTATTTTGAATTAGGGTTTATTTCATATAATCCAGACTAACTGCAATGTTTCAAATTCATAAAATACTGTGTAGAATCACTTAATCCAATTAAAAATCCATTTCGCTCGCAAGTCGAATGCAAACGAGTCTCCACCTCCCTCTGTCTCTCATCTTTTTCCCTCTCCTCCAAATTGTAAAATCTTTAGAGTTATCATGGTGAAGGTGGAGTAGGAGAATGCCGTGGCGTACGTTAAGATAACAACGACAAGTATGGTGATATGAAGGGAAGTCGTTAGTATATGTGATGAGGAATAGTTTTTTATTGGTTTTGTGAAGGATATGGAGGTTGCATATGTTGAAATCAACACTAACGATGACGAGCAATGTGCAATGGAGCAATAAAGAGGAGATTGGTAGGCAACTAGTGGTTATGGGTTAGGTTGGTTGTTGATCAGTGATCGTTTGATTTCCCACCAGTGAACGGGATCGTGAACAAATAATAAGTGTGTAGAGTGTTGAATCCACGAAAACTAAGTATTCAATCGAGTTCAAATTAATAGCAACCTCAATCGAATATCAAATAGGTTTTGAGTATTTTATACTAATATCTAAATTATCGATTAAACTAGAAAGAAATTTAACTAGTTTGATTTCAAATATGTAAAAGTATTGCTAAGATGTTAAATCCCCCTTGTTAGTTGGTGTGTGCTATCGTAGGCACCCAAAAGTAATACTTTAACCTCTAAAATTAATGTAATGTGGAAGTAAGGGTCAATCCCACGAAAAGTGTGCAATTCAATGTTTTATACTTCGTACAATGATTTGGGGGATTTTTGTATGCAAACAATTGTAAATAACGAATTAATAATAATGAAAATTAAATTGATGAAAACAATCAAAAGACTAACATTGGTCTAAATGCACATCTACCGTTGGAAACCCACGATTGATCATAGATGTAATGATAATTCAATTCATATTTTGAATATTCATCGTTGGAATTAATTCATATTTCTCCTTAATTTTATTTAGTTAGAGACTAGCATTCTAATTAACCCTAATTATTAAATAAACGTAAACCAGCGCTCAAGATTCAATTTAATAACAACTTTACACAATAAAGAAATCGATGAACTAGATAACATAAACACCGGCGATTGCATTCAATTTATTTAAATATTCTCTTAAGATTCAATAACCTCTATCATAGAAAATTATCAAATTCTAGTACTTCACAAGTTAAATGAATTAAACAATTACGGATTTGATATTTAACTTAGCGGTAAATTGTTAAAATCAATGAACTAGCGGGCCCTCTAGCAATTAAACGTAACAAATCATAGAAATAAACCCAGAAGAACATTCAATACGCAAAATATAAATCAAACAACAAGAAAAACTATTTAGATCTCACAATATGTGGTTCCGAGGGTTCCATTTCCTTCAACCAAGTGTAAAAGTTTAGTTACAATTCATGAATCCAAAAGAAAAATCGAGAAAAATGAAGTTGGAGGCGTTCTGGTGTGTTTTTGGGGTTGAAAAGTCGTGTAAGATATG